ATCGCTTCCTTCCAAGCAGGGGGAAGGCGGCCTTCGTCCAGCGACTGACGAAACACCAGGTGTAAATGGCTTGCCAGTGTGGAGGATGTTTCTTTCAGGATCCTTGGATGGACCTCGTCGGGCAGTATGCTCGCCAACGCGAGGATTCTCATAAATAAATGTCTAATAATGCTTTAAATTGGGTTCGAGAACGAGCGTGCAAAGAGTGATACACAGGTTCGAGGCTTTTGCACAAGTTTCCCGTTGATCTTGTGCAAGAGTTGACGAATGTCCTCCACCGTGAAGAGCAAGTCGGTTAGAGGCTGTTTGTAGTTTCTTCCTGCCAAGGGTGGATGTGAAGAAGACGCTGGGGCTGAGTATAGACAGGCATAGTGCTCTCTGTAAACCTAAGATACCACTGTTGGGTCATTTGTCGGTTCTCCGTTTCTGTCCCTCAAGGAGAACGCGGATGGCTAGTTTCAGCGGCGATGTCTCATGTATTTGAACAAGACGTATTTGTTGTTTTGAACGAGGTCCAGGATGGTGGCTTGTTTTCTTATGTTCCTTTTGCAGAATTCTGATTTACATTTCCTGGCAAAGAAGTTTTTTACCGTTGACCAAGCAGGCAAACGTTAAAGAAGATTTTCGAGCTCAGAGCACACACATTCATTAGATAAATTTTTTCTCATTTCGGGTAGTGGATGCGTGGAATGACCTTCCTCCGACGGTTGTCCCCGCTCATTTTATAACCCAGTTTAAAGCATTATTAGTCACTTATTTATGCGAATCCTCGCGGTGGCGAGCATACTGCCCCGCGCTGAGAATATAAGGAGCAGTGCTACACCCTTTTTTCCCTTGTACGTTTCAGGTGAACGATAGCCGCTGAACGACAGTAGCTAAAGCGACCCGGGAAACTTGTGCAAAAGCCTCGAACCTGTGTATCACTCTTTGCACGCTCGTTCTCGAACTCAATTTAAAGCATTATTAGACATTTATTTATGAGAATCCTCGCGCTGGCGAGCATACTGCCCGACGAGGTCCATCCAAGGATCCTGAAAGAAACATCCTCCACACTGGCAAGCCATTTACACCTGGTGTTTCGTCAGTCGCTGGACGAAGGCCGCCTTCCCCCTGCTTGGAAGGAAGCGATTGTCACGCCAATCTACAAAACTGGTGACCGACTGTCGCCTGGCAGATACAAGCTAACAAGTCTCACTAGCGTGCCGTACAAGGTGGTGAAAGCATTCTGAAGCAAGCTGTCCTAGAGCACCTTACTTCAAGGAACCTGATATTTCGAGCTCAACACGGATTTCTCCCAAACCGTTTTTGCGTGACAAACATGCTCGTGTTCATGGACAGCTTAACCCAAGCCAACGACGAAGGACTCATATCGGATGCCATATTTTTCGACAACTCAAATGTATTTGGTAGGGTCCCACACGTCCCGCTGCTCCACATACTCGAGTCTTACGGGATTCAAGGAAAAATCCTTCGCTGGATCAAAGCGTTCCTATCAGAGAGATCATTCCGAGTAAGAATAGGCCCGACCTACTCCTCTCCAGCGCCGGTCTCCATTGGAGTTCCTCAAGGCTCCGTCTTGGGACCACTCCTGTTTCTGATCTACGTCAACG